CTCAGGCAGTACTTCGTTGACAATACAATTGTTGCAGGAAAATGTGGTAAGACATAAGAACGTAATAACATAAGAGACGTCAATGTTGGATCAGGACAAAGGCCCATCCAGTCCAACACTCTGTCACACAGTGGCCAAAAATACCAGGTGCCATCAGGAGGTCCACCAGTGGGGCCAGGACATTAGAAGCCCTCCCACTGTTGCCCCCCCCCCCAAGCACCAAGATGACAGAGCATCACTTGCCCTGGAGTCCCTATCTATACCTTATGGCTAATAGCCACTGATGGACCTCTGCTCCATATGCTGAGCTCTCATATAGCATGAGGAACACATATGTAGCATCTGTATCTTATTGCCTACCAGGACAGTGAGAGCTAGCAGCCACCAGGAAGCAGGGTTGCCCCCCCCCCCCCCCCCCCCGCTAACACCAGCAGGGGATGCCTGATACAGGTTGGGGAATTCCTGAAGATTTGGCAATGGAGTCTGGGGAGCAGAGAGACCTCAGAGGGGTGCAACGCCATAGAGTTCACCCTCCAAATAATCCATTTTCTCCAGGGGGACTGGTCTCTGTAGTCTGAAGATGAGCTGTGATTCCAGTGGATCCCCAGGTCCCACCTGGAGCCTGGCATCCCTACCAAGAAGTGATTCTAGACTAAAATACCCTGACTTGTACAGGCATGGCTGGCCTTACCTAACTGCATGATTTAGTTAAAAACAACAACAAAAACCTGTAAGTGCAAGCTCTGGAATAATGCCATCCATTGGTGTCATCACTGCACTTAGAATGTCGCATGTACTCTAGTTTCATCCTGTTTATCCTCCCAGAACTCTGCAAGGTGGAACACTGTTCAGTTCAAGGAGAAGCAAGGATGACTGCATCAAGGCCACCAAGTACATAAGTGAAGTGGAATTTGATTCCCTGGTTCAGTCCCACTGTATTTACTGAGGGCAGCTTTACCAGTTAGTTCAAGGGCTTCGAACTAGAATGTGTGATGTTTTTCCTGGGCTTCTCCAGGCAAGTTAGAGTCTTCTTTAAACGAGATGCAGACTGTTCAGAGCTTAAAAGATGAGTTCTTGTGGTCTATTCTGATCTGGAGTCTTAGGGCTAAAATGCATACTTGGACCAGGAAAGATACAATCCAGCCAAGTTAAACCCTTTTGAGCTTCATTGGCTTAAATGGGAAAGACTGGAGCTTGTAACTTCCCTGGATTGTGACCCAAGATTTCAAGTTTTTGTAAAGTATATAATTTAGTATTCCTTTAAGGATACAACAGGGGATTTATTTCTTTAATTTTAATGGCTTGTCAGGGTTAATATTCTTTACCAAATACATGTGTTGTGTTATATATAAAGTTTATATTATAAACCATTTTAGCTTACAATGAACAGCATCTCAGACAAGGTTCATAATTGTGCTTTTGTTCAGATAAGACTAAAGTTGTGAGTACTAATTTGGTTTTTTTGGTTTTTGAATAATTTCTTTTCTTTTTTAAATTTTTTTAATTTTAATGGCTTGTCAGGGTTAATATTCTTTACTAAATACATGTGTTGTGTTATATATAAAGTTTATATTATAAACCATTTTAGCTTACAATGAACAGCATCTCAGACAAGGTTCATAATTGTGCTTTTGTTCAGCCCTGCTATTACAGAAATACTACAATGTATATACAGTTTACATTTTAATTACAGCACATACATTTATTTATTATTCAGATAATTTTTTCCTCCTTTTTGGGGCCAGAGGTAAAATAAGGGAAGGGGATGAATAGAAAGAGAACAGTTTTCCTGCTATCACTTTTTCAAATGATTCAGTCTCAAGTCCACAAAACAGGATTCCCATCAACGGCAGTATATTTTTAATAGGCTCTTTTTTGTTTTTCTTCTTTATCCCTAATAGTCTGCTTCAAGCTCAAAGAAGCATCTTCAAAGTTGGGGTTTATCTCTAAGACCTTCTTGAAGTCCTTCAGGGCTTCATCGAAATATCCTGTTTCAAAAAGATAGAGAACATAAGAGATACTTTTTTTCCGGCAATATCAAATACTTTCATGAAAAGACACAAACTGTAAGGACTATAAACTCAACTCCTGGCACACGCACCCAGTTTTGAATGCATCTCACACTCCGTCCTCCAATCCTGCTCTATATGCTGTAACAGTCTCTGATCTCACATGTAGGAGCTCCCATTGCACAGAGGAGATAGAAGGAATCTCAGCAAATGACTTGGCCTAAATATGCTTCTCCAGTGCACATGGAAGCTACTGCAACTTGTGCGCAGCCAAGCTGGGCGGACAAAATGGCTTTCTATACTGGTCTGAGGGACCAGCAGTGCTTCTTGCTCCTTTTCTGCACCAGTTCCTTATACATCCCTTGCTCAGGGCTGACAGAAATCTACTGACATCTTCTCAAGGAGAAGAGGGTGAGAAACAATATTTACTGCCTGGCAAGGTCTAGAGGCCACGAGAGGAAGGTTGCAGGCCTAACATGCCTGGAAAATTACAGGCGTTTATATACAAATGCTAGAAGTGTCCAAGGTAAAATGGGGGAGCTGGAATGCTTAGCATCAGAAGAGAACATAGACATTGTGGGCATTTCAGAAACTTGGTGGGATGAGGAAAATCAATGGGATACAGTGAATCCTGGAAATAAATTATATCGGAAGGATAAGGAGGAAAGAATCGGAGGTGTGGTGGCTCTGTATGTCAGAGAGGGTATACAGTCCAGTCAGATTGAGAATGTAAGAGAAACAGATTCACTTACACAAACGCTATGAGTGGAAATAGTGGGCCCACAAGGAAGTTTAACTCTGGGAGTTTGTTATCGCTCACCATATCAAAGGTTAGATGATGATTTAAAAATAGCAAAAGAATTAAGGAAAGCAGCTAGACAAAACAAATGTGTCATAACAACCCATTTTTTTCCATTTCATTTATTAGCTTCATTGACCCGAGGTCTTAAGCCAACATACAAAAAGCAACAATGTGTCATAACAGGTGACTTTAACTACCCACACATTGATTGGGTCAATATGTGTTCAAGTCAGAAGAAATAGATTGCCAGGGATACTCTCAATGACTCTGCCATGGAGCAGTTGGTCACAAAACCTACCGAGAGAGAGGCAATCCTGGACTTGGTCCTAAGCAGGGGTCATTTGGGGGGGGGACGCGGGGGGACGCCATCCCCCCGGGTGAGGTGCGGGAGGGCGGGGCCTGGAGCTCCCTGCTGGTGCCCGCTGTGGGGAGGACACACTTCCGGTGATGTCAGGGGGTGTGGCATATGCTAATGAGTCTCCCTAGCTCTTTTTCTACGAAATGACCCCTGGTCCTAAGTAATACCCAAGACCTGGTGAGAGATGTAAATGTGATAGTCCCAGTTGGGAACAGTGACCATAATGTTAAATTTAATGTTTATTAAAACAGGAAGTTGCCCCAAAAGACGAAAATAACCACTTTTAACTTTAGAAGGGGGCTTGGGAAGAAGAAACTGAAATGAAAGGTAAGGGGGGGTCAAATCCCTTCAGGAAGCTCGGAGACTATTTAAAACTAGGGGTGTGCACAAAAAAAAAAAAAAGCCGGTATTTTTTGGCTTTGGGTAAATCAGACCAGAAAAATATCGGTAAATACCAAATTTCCCCAGTCCAATACCGGTAAGGTATTCGGATTGGGGAAATATTCGGTATTGCCGAATATATTTGGGGCTGATTTAAACCATCAGAAGGAAAGGAGGCATGTTAAAATGCCTTCTTTCCCGCTGGCAGCCCCTACAGATTTCCCTGTCAATTTCACTCCCCACTAATTAGCTGAGTGAAATTGACAAAGAAAAGCCTCTCTCTGCCTTCCCTTCTCTAGCTGACATGTCCTAGCTGGAGAACGGCAGGCAGGGAACCCGGCCATGTTTAAAATACCTTTCTTTCCGCTCCAATCTCGGGGAGGGAAAGAAAGACATTTATGCCCCCCTCCCACTTCCCTGAGTCTCTCCGAAAAAGAGGAAAGGGTCAGGGAAGAAAGGGGGCATGTATGCATGCCTGCCTTCTCTTCCCTTCCCCAGCCTGTCCGCCACTGCAGGCAGGCTGGGGAAAGAGGGCAAGCATGGAGACATGCCTGCCTGGGTTCCCCTCCTGATCTTCTCTAGGTGCCCCGTGGCTGTGGGGCACCTGGAGAAAATCAGAAGGGGAACCCAGGCATGTTTAAAATGCCTCTCCTTCCCTCACTAATCTCATGGAAGAAAGAAAGGCATTTAAACACGCCCCCCCCCCTTTCCCGAGTCTCTCCGCAAATGCAGAAAGGCTCTGGGAATGAAGGGGGCATGTGTGCCTGGGGGTTGGGAAAGCACAGCGCAGGCATGGAAACATGCCTCTTCCCCCCCCCCCCCCCGAGCTTCTCCACCCTTGGAATTTCTCCCTGGAATTTTCTACAACAGAACCAGCCAAATGCCAACATGGAAAAGGTCCCATGAAGGCAGATAATTTGAAGATGGTAACACTGAACTAAGTTCTCTGTAATAGCCAAGTGAAAGATTATGACATGAATTGCACTGAGGAAAATCAGTAAAACCCTATTTCCATACCTAGCCTATATAATATTAAACCCCTGTTATAATATGGTACTTCAAAATCAGGCTGGGCTTCTATAGCTGATGTGTAATCATCCATCGCTTCGTAGAAGTCGACTCTCAGGTACTTGATCTGTCCCCTGTTGTTAAGTGCAGTTGCAAGATCTCTGCATTTGCTTGTTGAGACAATGGGAAAAAAAAGTCAGTTAAATATGATTCATGAGAATTAAGTAAAGGTAAAGGTTTCCCTTGCTCGAAATATAGTTGAATCTGACTCTAGGGGGTGGTGCTCATCTCCATTTCCAAGCTGAAGAGCCAGCGCTGTCCAAAGACATTTCCGTGGTCAGGTGACTGGCATGACTAAATGCCGAGGGGCACGGAACGCTGTTACCTTCCCACCAAAGCGGTACCTATTTAGCTACTTGCAATTTCTTGCTTTCGAACTGCTCGGTTGGGAGGAGCTGGGGCCAGGGATGGGAGCTCACTTCGTCACGCGGCACTTGGGTCTCGAACTGCCAAACTACAGACCTTCTAGTCTGCAGCTCAGCGTCTTAACCTCTGAGCCACCATGGCCCAATATGAGAATTAAAAGGTGAAGGTTCCATTACTCGAATGTCAGTCAAATCTGACTCTAGGGTTGCGGTACTCATCTCCATTTCAAAGCTGAAGAGCCAGCGCTGTCCGAAGACATTTCCGTGGTCTTCCGTGCTCAATTTTCCGTGGTCTTCCGTGCCAACCTCCAAGCAGGGCCTGGAGAGAAAGCTATCCAACTTCTCTCCCCCTTTGGAGAGGTGGGGACTGGGGAAGGGAGTCCCGGGTGGCTGGGCCAAGCCTGCGTGCTCCCTCCAGACCTGCCGGCCTGTCTTCGCTGCGACAAGCAGCAGTGCTGACTCTTGAGCAAGTTTGCTCTGCCCTAAGCTAGAGTGCCAGGCTGGGCAAGGCCAGCAGCTACCGGAGGGACTCCCTGTGGCCGCAAGCCTGCGCTCAGTGTGAGGCCCGGCTTTGACAGCACCGCTCAGCCCCGGGTCAGACCGTTCCCGAGAGCCTCGGCCACCTGCCGGCCTCTTCGCCCCCACCCAGGAAGACCCCCCCGCCTCCGCCGCCCAGGTCTCAGGAGCACGAGGCGGCTGAGGGAAGCAGCCAGGCGGGGTGTGAGCCGGGGGGGGGGTTGTGGCTGCCTGTCCAAGCAACTGGCCCTCCTTCTTCTCCTCCTCCTTGGGACCGCCTCCTCCCCTCACCTGGCTGCCTGCCCTGTGCCTCCAGGGCCCCCCTCGCCCCCGCGCTGGCCCCACTTGCGGGGGTTCTGCTGTCCTTCTCTCTCTGCCCATGGCTGCTTGCAGGCAGCCTCCGAGGTCAGGCTCAGCAGAGAGGAGCGGCGCGGAGAAGCCCACAGCTTCTGCGGGGAGCAGAAGGAAAGCGCTGACGCCGGGGGGGATCCGAGCAGCCCGCCTGCAGGACCCTTGGCCCCGGCTAGGCTCTCGGGGCTTCGGAGGGAGCTCTCCTCGGATCACCGGAGGCACCAGCAGACTGACCGGGATGAAGGCGATCTGGAGGTAAGGAGGCGAAGGGGCGCACCGGCGCTCTCATGGGGTAGAAGCAGGGCCGGCCCAAGGTTTTTTCGCGGGGGGGGCACAGTTCAGCGCCCCATCCAGGGCCTGCCAACCCATCCAGGGCCTGGCGCTCTAGGCGAATGCCTAGTTCGCCTAGCGGGTGAGCCGGCCCTGCAGCCAAGATGTGGTTTTCCTAGCCTCCCAGCAAAAGCCACTGTTTAAGCCAAGCCTGGCTTCATAGGGCACTGCTTGTGGAGGTTCAGAGGTCGTTTTTGGGGTGTCTCTCGGGAAAGGGCTGAGGATGCTGGCAACAACTTCCATCGTGGTCATCGAGAGGCAGTGCAGTGCAGTGGTCAGAGTGTCATACTAGGATCTGGGAGACTCCACCCCCAGACCAGCCACTCTTGACAGCCTGACCTACCTCACAGGGTTGTTATTGTGAGGATAAAATGGAGGAGAGGTGAAAGGATGTGTTCCCATTGGGAGAAAGGTGGGTTATAAAATAAATAAATAAAAGGTCATACTACATGAGGATGGCACTGTTCCATTTCTGCCGCAGAAGGCACTGGGAAAGGACCGTACTACTATGCAGACCCAGGGCGTTCTTTCCCAAAGCTTCCCATAATTTTCTAAACTTAATTTTCTGGCGCAAAGAGAAAGAGGAGGAGGAGGAGATTGGATTTATACCCCGCCCTTCACTCGGAGTCTCAGAGCGGCTTACAAACTCCTGTCCCTTCCCCTCCCCACAACAGACACCCTGTGAGGTAGGCCGGGCTGAGAGAACTCTTTCAAGGACTGCTCTTTTAGGAACAGCTCTGAAAGAACTATGGATTGGCCAAGGTCATCTAGCAGCTGCAAGTGGAGGAGTGGGGAATCAAACCCGGTTCTCCCAGATTCGAGTCCACACACTTAACCACTACACCAAAGGGCATGTGTGATTTAGCCCTGAGGGGATACTTTCTAAAGGCTCACATAAAAGTCTGTACATCCCAAGGTTTTATAATATTTAATCAGAAATCGAGTGGTCTTATCTTACAATTTATCATGCCCCCCAAAAAAGTCAATTTCCCCAAATTTATTTGCACACATTTTCCTCCTGTAGTCGAATAGTTTTGCAGGAGGCACCTGGCAGTTGGAGGACCACTGATCTGATCACCCCTCCACTCTTCCTATGGCACACAAACTGAGCTGTTCTCCCAGCCACACAAAAAAACCTTCCCTAGCAGCAAAACTTCGGGCATTTGTTAAGAGCACGTGGGCACTACGGCCAGGACACTAGGAAACTGTTGAGAGCCAGCAGCGCGTATGCGAAAGGATTTGGGTTTTTTGGTTGTACACTATTTGTAACAATGGCTTCCAAATGCACAGATTTTCATTTAAGGACAACGCAAGGATTTAGTTTGACACTTAACTTTCTCCCCTAAAACTTCCAGCTACGAAACTCTCCATCTCCTCTCTCGTTACCAAGCGCCCCTACAGGGTTCGCTTGGTCTGACCGCAAGCCTCCGGTTCCCTTCCCCCCCCGCCAGCCATTTTTAAAGGAAGGGGATTACCTCCCACCGCAGCATGCGCAGTGCTGGAGGAAGCGGCTGTAGAGCTCCTCTGCCTGCTCAAATCTCCGCTCCTGAAAGTGTGCGTGCGCCGCAGACAGCAGATCCTGCGCTACTTCAGCACTTGGTTCTTGGTCCATATTATTCTATATGAAGCTGACTGGGGAGGGAGGGGGGAAGTCAGGTTGTTCCAGACGCGGTGTCGCCACCATCCTCTCCCACCCCCTGCCTTAAGGTTGAGGGGGGGCTGGGACGGAGCCCGCACGCTTCGTTTTCTGCTGCGGACAAAACAGCACAAATAGCTTTCCTTCCGCGAATGACGTCAGCGGAAAGGTCTTCTAGCTCGCTCGTTCCTCTAGGGGGCGCCAAAGGCATGTAGGTTTTTTTTCCTGGAATACGGATTTTTTTTTCTTCTAGGGACTTCTTGTCAGCGGCGACTGGGTGCTTTTAGCAGAAACCGGAACCACGACCACGTTAGAGGATTGGCATATTTTTTAAAATCGGCCGGGGGGGGGGTATATTTTAGTAAAACCTGGGCGATGACAGGTGTTTTACTTAGCAAAACTAGGAAGATTGCTAGTTGCTGCTTCTGTGAATGCTCTCTTTGCTTTTCCATAATGTAATTTCAGTTTTACATCAGTACATCCTCCCCCCCCGTAGCCGCTGCATTTCATAGCCCTTTGACTGTACCGTCTACAATTTTTGTTCTTCAGCACCTCACATATGTAGGTCTGCCTGATGAAGGGGCTGTAGTCTGTAGAAGCCTAGGTTGGAATAAAATCGTGCTCAACTTTAAATTGGCACGTTCATATCATTTTTAAAGTAAATTGCTGCTTCTTTTTTCACTTAGCTAGGTGGTTAAAAAGTAGAGACATCAACCTGCCAACAAAAGTCCGCATGGTCAAAGCAATGGTATTCCCAGTAGTCATGTATGGCTGCAAGAGTTGGACATGTTTCCGTGGTCATGTGACCGGCATGACTAAACACCAAGGCGCATGGAACGCTGTTACCTTCCCACTGAAGGGGTCCCTATTTATCTACTTGCAATTTCTTGCTTTCGAACTGCTAGGTTGGCAGGAGCTGGAACTAGAGATGGGAGCTCACTCCATCATGTGGCACCCGGGTCTCGAACTGCTGAACTACTGACCTTCCACAGCATGCAGTTCAGGGTCTTAACCACTTGAGCCAACACAGCTCCACTTATTTCACTTAGCTAGGTGGTTAACAGCTGGGGATAGTTTGTGTAGTTCTGACTGATTCAGTTACCCTTTTTCGCGGGGTCTCATTTTTACCTCTGCTCCACAAGGCAACAACATATCTTGTTCTGGGAAACTTGGCCTCCTGGCCTCTTCTTGTAATAGCCCACTGCTCTTCCCTCTTAAGCTTTTTGTAGGTGTGGGTACAAACCTCTCTGTCAACTGAATGCAACCCTGCATGCATCTGACAAAGTAGGCTGTGACACAGGAAAGTTAAAGATACAATAAAGCGGAGCCTTAAGCTGTTTGTAGGCGTGGGTATAAACCTCTCTGTCAACAGAATGCAACCCTGCAGGCATCTGACAAAGTAGGCTGTGGCACAGGAAAGTTAAAGATACAATAAAGCGGTTAATCATTAAAGTGCCACGAGACTTGTTAGTTGGTACAACACAGGTCCCTGCTTGTTTCAAAGATGGGTCG